GTCCCTGCCACCCATGTGGGAGACCTGGGAGAAGCTCCTGGTTTCAGATCAGCTCAGCTCTGGCTGTTACAACTATCTGGAGGGTGAACCAGCAGATGGAAGATCTCTCTCTCTCTCTTTCTTGTACTCTCTCTCTCTCTGTAACTCTGACTTTAAATAAATAAATAAATCTTGAAAGGGAAAAAATAACACTGGACAAGAGCTTACCATGAAAATGATCTTGAGGATGACAAGAGTGACCCAAAGGACAGGGCCATGGTGGAGCCAGATGACCTCTGGCTGAGACAGGTGCAGCGGGTCAGACTCAGTCCAGGGCATTTGTGGTGTGAGGGCTGTTGCAAGGAGGACAGGGGTCCATAGAGACCACTTCTCAAGGCAGGTCTCTCCTGTGATGCACCTCCACTGGGCCCAAGTGGCTGGCCAGCTCTCTCTCCCGGATGCTGGCAGGGCTGGGGGGGGGGGGGGCAGACAGCTGGGATGAGAGGGGCACGAGAGGGTCAGGGGCTGTGGCTTTCACATGGTGTCTGAAGTTCATCTGTCTCGGCGTGAAAATAGTGGGGAGCCCTAGGGCCAGAGCGACGGGGGTTTGGAGGAAAGCAAGGGTGCCCTGTAGGAGGCCCTTTAACCTGTGCCATCATTCTGGGTCAAGCGCCCGCTCCTGTGCAAGGACAGAGTCGGGTGGGCTGGAGGGTCTCTGTGCGCCCCCCTGGTGTGGCCACCGTATGTATATTGAGATGCCCTCTCCTGTCCCCTCCCTGCAGCTCCTGTGGGGGAGGTGGAGATTACCCAACAGCCCTGGGGGGGGGGGTCCCAGCGCTGTCCCTGGCTCCAGGGCCACCCACCCAGTCCTGCTCTGCCTTCCCCGCTCCCAGAAAGGGAAAGGCGCCTTCCCCACAGACAGGCCGTGGGACGGGAACGTCGGTTTTCCCCTTCTCTCCTGACTGTCAGCGGCTTGCTTCCAGGACGAGGAAAGCGGGCTCAGCAGGGGGTGAGAGGGGGATCCAGGCATAGAGGGTCCCTGCAAGGTTGGGGGCGCCCTCTCCTCGGGTCAGACCCCCTGCAGTTCTAGCGTGTTGTCTGTCAGCCCAACATGCGCCTGTGTGGTCTCTACACATGTGTGCGTGTGAAGAGAGATGTGTGTATAAATAGAGACAGGCCCGTGTAAAGGGGTGTGTGTGTGTGTGAGACAGAGCAGCCAGGGGCAGCTTGCCTGCGTCCCTGTAGCCTCGCCTGTCACTTCCGCTGGTGGCTCCTTTCTCCTCCTTCCCGACTCCCCAGCACTGAGCTGTCAGCATCACTCTTGCTCCCCACAGCCAGGCTGTTGCTGCGTTCCCACTGCTTCCTGTGCAGCCACTCCAAAATCTGTGCCTTTCTTGGTCTCCGCCCCCTCCCTCTCATCCCCCTCCTGGCGGCCCCAGCTCGCTCTGGCCCTGGCTCTGGCTCTGCTCTTCGCTTTTCGCTCTCTCTCACTCTGTGCTCTGTCCTTTGCTCCAGCCCCCTCGGTCTCCTGGATGGCATCAGCCCTTGGTCCCCATGGACCGCCCCCCCCATCTCCGGCTGTCTCTTGGTTTCCTTGTGTTTGTCTCTCTCCGTCCTCTCTTTTCTGCCTCTGCCTCCGCAGATAGCACAGCCAGGAACTCTCCCTTGGGAAAGAGCATCTCTGACCCTTTTTCTAACCTCACTGTCAAGTTTGCTTCTCACCTGGCCGGGGCTCCACCTCCCCAGACCTGAGAGTGGGGCGGGGAAGCCATGGGCCTGGGGAAGACAGCTGTGCCCAGGAACCAGGGATGCAGGCCTGCCTCTTCTGGAAACAAGTGGCAGCCTGGGCTCATTTGCATGTGGGGTCTCTTTTACATAAATCTGCATGTCAAGCTAGAGGCCCTGGAGCCAGGTAATGCAAAATGATGCAAAATAAATTAATCAGCAGGCCCTGCTGCAGGTGTCTGATCTTCCAACTGAGGAACAAACCCAGATGAGCTAGCATCCTTCGTGTGTGTGTGTGTGTGTGTGTGTGTGTGTGTGTGTGCAAGCGCGTGCACGCTGTGGTGCAGGGAGAGCCCAGGGCTCTGGCTTGGAGCCGGCAGGCAGCTGTTCTGCCCCAGGCTGTGGGTGGCCCGAGGGGCAGCCTGCTCCAGAGAGGATGAGCCCCTGTGGCTGGAGAGGGCTATGAAGGTTGCCAGCCGGGAAGAGGGGTGTCCAGTGGGGAAACTGAGGTGCGGCGGGTGGAGGAGGAGCTCTCCCAGGGCTACTCAGCCCCCGAGGATGGTACAGTCCAGATCAGAAGCGAGCGCACTGGCTCTCAGCAGATCCACCTCCTGCTCCCCACTGCTGGCTGGCGGTGGGGGAATTTCATGGCTCTGTTTGAGGGTCGCCAGTGACTCTGGGGATCCAGGATGAGCATCTGCCCTTGCTCTAACCACCATGGCTGCCAGCCCTTCTGCCCTGACAGGGGGCCCTGCAGGCGGGGAAGGAGGCTGGGGGCTTTCCGGCTTCGGGGAAGTGTGACTGCTTGGCTCCCCCTTGGATTGGGAGACGGTTCCAGAAGCCTCAGCACTTCCACAGGACGGGGGGACGGGAGCCCCCCCAGACACAGCCTGGGGTTGGTGTACCGGGGACCCCAGTGCACTGGCCATGTGCTCACACTGCTCTGCCTCTCCTCTGCTGTGGGCGGCACTAGGAGCCATGCATGTGGCGTGTGGTACTGGCCGTCTCAGGGGCAGGTCGGCTGGGGTTCCCTGCAGGAGCTGCAGACTGAGCCAGGCCAACCCTTCCCAGCTGAGCTGTGCAGCCCAGTGTGAGACACCTGGCCTCTCTGAGCCCAGTTTTCTCATCAGCAAATTAGGGGTGGGGAGAGTTCCCGTGGGGCCTGAATGAGAGACCAAGCATGCATAGCCCCCTGCACCAGGCCAGCACAACACACGCCTTTGTGAACGGTGGTGGCAGCCATCAATGTCACTCCTGCAAAGGGAGATGCCCCAGCCAGGCCAGCCTGGGCCAGAGGGAGGGTGTAGGAGGCTGAATAGGTCTTCGTGGAGCCTCTCTCTGGCCACCTTCTGTGCCCACCCCTCACCAGCACCCCACGTTGGCACTGCAAGGTGTCCGGCACGTAACAAATCTTCCCAGGCAGACGAATCGATTAATTCACAGGCTTTTATTGGGGTTCTGCTCCCAGGCGAGGTTCCATGATCCCAACAGAGCAACAAAGCGGGGGGCCGGGGAAGTGGCGCGTCAGAGATTGGGAGTGCTCCTTTTATAGATTCAGGGCATGGGGGTTAAAGGTTGAGGTGAGTCTGATCCTCATTGGTTGACCTTTAGGCACCCGCAGGGACCTTGACAAGGACTTTTCTTCCCCACAAGTACAGGTAGGGACTCTCCATTCCTGGAAGTATAGGCCTTCCTCCTTGCGGATCCCAAAGCTACCAGGCACCAAGAGGGAATGTTGTAAGACACGAACGCGGGGGTGCTGTAGAGAGCTCCTAGAACAGTGGAATGAAGGTAATGTGCAGTGGGGCGAACTTCTTCCTCGCTTCAACTCCTCCTGGCCCCCTATTGTGCTTCCGATAAAGCCCGGAGCGCCTGGCTACGCCCTCACCAGCCTTTGGAACCTGACTCCTGCTCCTCTTTCTCTCCTCCTGGGACCTCAGGGAGGTGGCGTGGACCTGCCCACTGCCACGCCGCCTGGGCGTGCTGGCGCCTGTCTCCAGGCCCCTGCACAGCTGCCTCCTGGCTGCAGTTCCTCACCCCTCTGCTCCCTCCTGAGCCGTCCACCTCTCGTGGCTGAGGGTGGAAAGGGAAGGGTGCACAGGGCTGTGTGTCCAGCAGGTTTTGTCTGAGAGGCCGCAGCAGGAGGGAAGCCCTCCCGTCCACGGGTCCAAGCTCTCCTTTGGCAGAGGAGAGACCCCAAGAGCCTGTCTCCTCTCGGCACACACGCCCAGGAGGAAAGGCAGAACAGCGACCCCTCCTTGTAGTGAGTCTCTCCCAGGAGAATGAACCTACAGAAAAGACCTGGGGGTGTGCAGGAAGCTAGGCGAGCCCCTGGACCAGACCCCTGGGCTATAAGCATTTGGAGGAAGAGACTGCTTCATAGCTCCCCTCCATAGCCCCAGAGGGGTCACTGCCTCTTTTTACCTCTTCCTGAGACACCGGCTGCCTCAAAGCCACAGAAGCAGGACCTGAGACCAGAGAACTGGGGCTGAAGCTGGGAAGCCGCCAACTGGGGAGCAGCCAGGGGAGGACCAGTCAGGGCCCCCACAGTCCTGTAAAAAGCACACAGGTCCCAGAATCAGGAGACCTGGGTTTGAGTCCCGCTTCCTGGCTAAGCCAAGGGGCTTGTCACTTCCCCTCTCAGACCCTCGGTCTCCTCAGCTGTACAATGGGGGTGACAACAGCTCTGTTCCGGCCAGGTCCCTGTGAGGTCCTGTGAGGCGACAGACGTGGAAGTGCCTGGAAAACAGATGGACATCCAAACACGTGCCCACGCATGGGACGGACGGGCCCAGGGAGCACGTGAGCCGGAACCAGGCTCCAGTGCCCGGAGTCAGCCACGGAGGCACCCCTCTGCCCTTGCTCGCACTGTGCCTAATCTGCTCCGGCTGAAAGGTGTTGGGCTGATAAATATTTGTTCCTGATGGCCAGACTTGCATGCGTTTTATCAGCCTGGCTGATAAGATAATCCTGGCCTGCTGGGTGAGGGCTGGCACCTGGTGTTCTGTGTGCAGGTCACCTCTCAGGCCCAACTCTGGATACCTAGCAGGTCAATGCGTGGGCTGCAGGGGCCAGGGGCGGCTCAATTCATTCCCTTTGTCTCTGGATCTGATGTCAGAGCCCAAGTTAACACCTTTCCTGCCAGTTGGCCACTGTCTCCACCAAGCTCAGAACCAAACCGGTTAGGAAAAGCCCCGAGGCGAGCGCCCTTCTCCTTTAACGAGCTCAAACTCTCCAGATCTATTTCAGCCCTCTGAAAAGCGAAACCCAGGAAGGCAGCATCCCCCCAGGCAGACAGGAGAGGTGTGTGGAATTAATATTCCATCTCGATTTTTCCTGTGTAATTTAATAAGTTGACTAAGCTTATCAGAGGCACACAAGCTGCTTTTAGCTATGGGGAGAGCCCCACTCACGAAGCCGCCTCACTTTTCCAACCGACAAAGCTCACATTAGAGCGGTTGACCGGTCAAGCAGGCCACGAGGTGAGGCCGGGGGTAGGGGGTGGCTGGGGGGTGGTGGTGGTGGTGGTGGTGGTGTTGGGGTGGGGTAAGAAGCTGGGCCCGGCTCGCCTTGCAGGCCTGGACTGACTGCACCTGCCCTCCTGGCCTCTGATTCTGGAGCCCCAGGAGGGCCCGATTGCCTCGGGCTTTTTCTGGACCGGTTCTGGGGATAGCCCTGGCCTTGAACCTCCAAGAAGAAAAGCACCCCCTGGGCCAGCAGGTCCCGACCCCCTGCAGACTCGCCCCTTCCTCTGCCCCTCCTCCACCACTGCCTCTGGCCCGAGCCCAATCCCAGGGCTGCTTCTCTCTGCAACCACAGAGCTCTCAAGCAATCACTCTCACAAAAAGAAAATTCCCATAGAAAACTCGAGACTCCCTGCAAGGGAATCCGTGGAACCCCTATGGGGAACACCACTCCGGGCGTTCTCCTCTTTTTGAGCATCTACTGAGCTTCTGGTTGTCTCTGGAACGAGCACTTGGTGGGCGGGGGGACGACACTAACACAGATTTCCTCCTATAACGGCTAGAAGAAGAGAGTTCAGAGATCACCTAATTCTCCCTTCTAGAGGTGGGTAGACTGAGGTTCAAACAGGAAAAATGACCTGGGTGATGGGTTCTTTTTTTTAAAAAATGATTTATTTTATTTATTTGAAAGTCAGAGTTACACAGAGAGAGAAGGAGAGGCAGAGAGAGAGAGAAAGAGAGAGAGAGAAAGAGGTCTTCCATCCGCTGGTTCACTCCCCAATTGGCCACAACGGCCAGAGCTGAGCTGATCCGAAGCCGGGAGCCAGGAGCTTCTTCTGGGTTTCCCATGTGGGTGCAGGGGCCCAAAGACTTGGGCCATGTTCTACTGCTTTCCCAGGCCACAGCAGAGAGCTGGATTGGAAGTAGAGCAGCTGGGACTCGAACCGGTGCCCATTTGGGATGCTGGTGCTGCAGGTAGTGGCTTTACCCGCTACACCACAGCACCGGCCCTGGGGTGATGGGTTCTAATAACTGAGCAGGGTCCGTGGGACTCTGGAGGAAAAGGAAGGCAGACACTGAGAGAGCAGTGCCCCTGTGCTACAGGGTGAGTGGGCCCCCGTGCCTGCCCTCGGTGTCTCTCTGTGACCTGGTTAGAGTGCCCATGCCTTTAATTCGTGCCCATCCCTTTAACAGCCAAGCCAACTCCTTCTGTGCACTCCTGTAGCTAGAGGTGGTCCGGCATGTCATAGTGGTTGAACACAGGGAGTCTCACCAGAGTTCAAATCTTGGCTCCACCCCATAGCATCTGTGTGATTCAATCAAGCTTTTGACCTTCTAGTGGGGGCTGGTGCTGTGGCGCAGTGGGTTAAGCCGCCCTCTGCAGTGCTGGTGTCCCCATGGGCACCGGTTCGAGTCTTGGCTGCTCCACTTCCAATCTGGCTCCCTGCTAATGCACCTGGGAAAGCAGTAGAGGATAGCCCAGGTCCTTGGGCCCCTGCACCCACATGGCAGACCTGGATGAAGCTCCTGTCTCCTGGTTTCAGTCCAGCCCATCCTGCTGCAACCATCTGGGGAGTGAACCAGTGGATGGAAGACTCTCTCTGCCTCTGCCTCTCCATCTCCTGCCTTTCAAATAAATGAATGTTGAAACAACAAAACAAAACAAAACAAAACAAAAACCCTTGTGCCTCAGTTTCACGCTCTGTAGGTTGGGGGTGACAGTGACCGACTCATAGCATTGAGACATGAGATAAGGCACACAGTGTGCCGACACGTGTGACAGCAGAAATAGTCTCCGTGCAGGCAAGGACTTCATTACGTGCCTTGCAGTACCCTGTGGGGCAGGAGCAGCAGCCGTGAGGACAGAGAGCGATGAGAGCCACCCGCGGCTCTCGCCTCCAAGCCTTTCCTTCTGGATGACTGTGAAGTTGCTGCTCGCTCTCCTGCGTTCACCTTTTCTTACCCGAGACTCCTTTCTCTTCTGGCCCAGTTTGCTGCCATATTTACTCTTTGCACAAACGAGCGCCTGTGCAACGCCTTCCCCTAACATGCACACGCGCGCCTGCGAATCCCCAGGCAGCTCTCTCTGCGTCTCTGCTTCAGCATTCAAGTTGCTGCTCCCCTTTCTCTACTTGCAATGCTGGCCACCCTCCCCAAATGTACTTTTTACAGCCTGGTAAGTCAGGGTGGTAAGAAAAAAAAAATCCCACCACGATGCTTTCTTTCTAAGGAAGGCTGTCCACTGCTTTTTGTTTTGTCTCGTTGAAGACAGAATGATGCAATCCCCTTCCACTCTGACAAATGGGGACCCTCAGCGCAGGAGGAAGCCGAGCCAAAGCCGGCCGGGAAGGGGTCAGAGACTTGCGGCAGATTTATGAAGCCCCCGCCCCCGAGCCCGGGCAGCTGGACAGCTCTGTCCTCCGTCCAGGCTTCCAGGCCTGCGCCACCCGCCCTCGTCTGAGTCACCTGGGTGGAGCTGGCAGTTTCTCATCTGCGCTGTCTGACCAGTTCCCAGAGCGGTGAGTGCCTTCTACCTTTGGGGACACCAGGGAGAAATACAAAAAGACTTGCCTCTTTTTCTCCACCCCTGGTGTAGGGGGGCTTTAATTTACTTGGAATCTGTGATCATCTGGGGTGATAGCGGTGGTGGGAAAATGCAGAGAAAGTTGATAAACTGGATTATAATGCAGCATCAGTAACTCAGTCATGCCAATGAACACAGGCCAGATCTGCAGCGCCGGCATCCCATATGGGCACCGGTTTGAGTCCCAGCTGCTCCACTTCCTATCCAGCTCCCTGCTAATGTGTCTGAGAAACCAGCGGAGGATGGCTCAAGTGCTTGGACCGCTGCACCCATGTGGAAGGCCCAGAGGAAGCTCCTGGCTCCTGGCTTTGGCCTGGCCCAGCCCTGGCTGTTGCGGCCATCTGGGGAGTGAACCAGCAGATGGAAGATCTCTATCCGTGTCTCTCCTTCTCTTTCTCTCTGTAACTCTGCCTTCCAAATCAAATAAACAAATCCATAAAAACAAAAACAAACAAGCAAAAAACCCCACAGGTTCCTAAGCCTAAACCCAAAAGAATTTGGCCAAGGAGAATCTGCATGTGGTTGCTAATAAAAGATGATAATGATGAACGAACAAATAAAGCCTATGGCCTTTAGCAATCACCTGGAGGCTGCCAGAAACCGGATTGGTGTGACCGAAATAGACATCGTAAAGAGAAATAGCAAACGAGGTGAACTTGAGGGATGGGTTTGTGTGCGCCCTAAAACAAATCCCCTGGTTTTCATCTTCTTTGCCATGACTTCATGGAGCAAAGTCTCAATTTACCAAGTTAACGGCAGCGCTGGCTCCGTGCACTTGAGCGGTTCCCGTCCTTGGAGGTTGGCCCCTTCTGCGTATCTGCTCGCAGGTCTGACTTGGCCCAGAGCCTGAGGCTGGGTTCGGGGCCAGCACCCCTGCAATCAGGGAGGCCAGCTGAGGTGGTAGACTTGCTGGGGCTGCAGTGGCGCGGGCAGGAGGCTGGGGCAGGTCTTTCACCACCATCACAGGCCTTTGAGCGGAAGGGAGGTACCTACAGCCTGATGAATCGAGTCCTGGTGCACTGCTGGAGTAAGAAAGAGTTCTCGGCGGCATCAAGGCGAGAGCGTGGAGCCAGGCAGTCACAAAGCTGGGGACATCGTCGCCAGGGCCTGGCCCTTCTGCCAGAAGCTTGCCTCTGTCTGTAGGCACGGGAGCCACAGGAAAAGTATTGCCTGCTCTGAAGTTCATGTCTACTGCTCCATGACCTGGCTCTTTCTGTCCCAGCCACGGGCTCCCACTTGGTCCCAGGCCCTCCCCGGTCCCTCCTTTTGGCTTGTCCTACCTGGACTTGGCAGTGGGTTCCATTTCTGCTTCACGACTGTCCCGGGAATCCCCTAGTCTCAGTCCTCAAAGTCCAGCTCAGTCTCTGCAACTGCATCCAAATCAGGTGCCTGGGACACTGCAGCAGCTCAGTTTCCGGGCCTCAGTGGTGGGGACGAGAGGCTAAGAAGAGCAGGTCAGGGGCTGGCACTGTGGCAAAGCACGTAAAGCCACCTGCAACACCGGCACCCCATATGGGCTGCTCCACTTCCAATGCAGCTCCCTGCTAATGCGCCTGGGAAAGCAGTGGAAGATGGTCCAAGTGCTTGGGCCCCTGCACCCACATGGGAGACCTGGTGGCGTTCCAGGCTCTTGCCTTTGGTCTGGCTCAGCCCTGGTGGTTATTGTCATTTGGGGAGCAAACCAGTAGATGGAAGATTTCTCTCTTTGTCTCCCTCTCTCTCTGTCACTGTGTCCTTCAAATAAATAAAATAAATCTGTAACCAAACTCAAAAGAAAGAGCGGGTAGAAACAGTGAAGGAGAACACATTGAGTGAATGCTAGCAAGAGAGTTAAACACGCACTCCTTGTGGGCATGGGGTGAGGTGCTGGGCTTCTTACAAGGCCAAGGGCAAGAGTGGGGCATCAGATTGATTTCCCAGGCCCTTGGGGCTAACCTGAGCCTCCGTGCTGTGCCCTGCTGATCTGGCCTCCGTGCAAGCCTCTTGGCTCTCTGGGTGATGGCTGAGGAGCCGCAGAAAGGAATGGCAGCTCAAGCCGGGAGGAAGCTGTGTGCAGCAAGGTACCGGCGCTCTTCCTTCCTTCTGTCTGTCTCCCCCTCACACTGCGTCTCCGCTCCAGCCACGTCTTCTTCTCTACATCTGCAGGTCTTGATGCTAACAGTTTCCAGGCTTGTCTCCATGTGTGAGTCCTGTGTGTCTCCCCCAGGACGGATCCTGCCTCTGTTTCAAGGCACCCTCCATTTCACACCCTCAGTGCTTGTCAGCAGAGGGTGCCAAGGAAGCTATCAGACCTATGCACTGGGCACTATCAGTGTTTGCCTTCCTGCCTCAGCACGTCCCCGGTTGACGCAGGTGTGACACTGTTCAAGCGTCTGCCTGGCCACCCGGCCGCTCGCAGCCCCACCGGGCGCACGGTGACCAGCACCGCTATCGATCCAGACAGCGAACTTCCCCGGGGGAGGGGGGGTGTCCCTGGAGCCTGGCTTCATCTCCTCACCCCCACCCAACATCTCCTATTCAACGTTGGCAGTGATGGGTGACAACATGATTGGGAACACAGGTGGCATGTCTGGCAACCTTTCAGATGACACTAACTCAAGGAGAGACTCAGGAAGCAGGGTGGAAGAGGAAGATCACCAGCAGTCAGAAGGAAGTCTTACCCTTGGCTCAGTACCACCCAACCAAGCAACCAAGTGGGCAGAGAGAGAGAGGCTGCACAGCTATGCTGCTTCGGAACTCGGAAGCTCTGAGCGCAAGCTCCATGTGAGCTCCGGGAAACCGAGGGACAGGTGGGTGGCGAGAGGCAGGGCAAGGAGGAGGTGGTCCTGTTCCCAGCATCGCTGAGCCCACCTGCATGTGCGCCACGCTTCTGCCACTTCCAGGTTAGCACAGCAAGACGAGAATCTGGACATGGAGTGAATGAGGATATGGACAACCTCCAAGCTGTTTGGGAGGCTTTTGGGGTTGTCCTCCATGAAAGGGAGGAAGCTTTCCTCTCCCTAGCCCTGAAGGGCTGTGGATTAGGTAATGAGTTCCCTGTCATCGGAGTTATTCAAGAAAAACACCATCCATCAGGGATGTTGCAGGCGAGTGCTCGTATTTGTCAGAGGACTGGACTGGATGGCCTTTAAAGACGGTTCCGACTCGGGCACGCTGTGACTCGGGAGGCGGCTGTTATAATTCATTACCCTATCCCCTACTTGGGACTACGGAGCTCTCTTCCATAAAGCAATGAAGCTGCTGAAGTGGGGCAGTGTTTCCCAGTTGTTTTCAGACTCAGTTTTAAAGTTCAGATAAAGAATGAAGACCTTGGGGCGGGTGTTGTGGCACAGCAGGTTAAGCTGCGGCTTAGGACCCCCGCTTCCCATACCAGAGTGCCTGCGCTCCAGGCCCCCTCCGTCTCTGTCGCCAATCCACCTTCCTGCTAGTGCGGCTGGGGAGGCAGCAGATGGTTGCTGGGCTACTGGCTCCCTGCCACCCACGTGGGAGACCCGGATGGAGTTCCAGGCTCCTGGCTTCAGCCTGCCCCCACCGTGGCTGTTGCAGGTGGGAGTGAAGCAGCGGGTGGAAAATCTGTCTCTCTCAACTTTCTCTCTCACTCTGTCTGTCACTCTGCCTTTCAAGTAAATAAGAAAAAAATGAACACATCACTATTAAAAGAAGAACAAAAACACTGGAGTTGATTGCCTGTGTTCAAACCCTGGCTCTGTTGCGTATCAGCTGTGTGACTTCAGCAAGCCGCTCTGCTCTCCGGGCCTCACTTTCCCCACCTGTAGAATGGGGATAAGCGTAGTGCCTGCCTCATAGGGCTGCTCTGAGGGTTCACTCCATCAGCACTGGAGAAGCACTTGGAACACTGCCAGCACATAGTAAGTATGATCAAGGTGTCTGTTACCTAAAAATAACACAAAAACAGCTGAAAACAAAGGACAGACACAGTCTCCAGTGGTTTGACAAATGGCTCAAGGAGCTCCTCTTCCTGCCCCAACTCATCACCGGCCGCTCTGGCTATAAAATAGCCAAGACGTGCAAACGTGGCCCAGGCTCCCTGAGCTCTCGGGGCGGGGGGGGGGGGGGGAGGGCTTCCTGCTGCTGGCGTGCGGCAACCTCTGGGAAGGCCTGTGTGCTCAATGGCACCAGCCCATCCCCGCCCCCTGCTGCCCCCCCACCCTCCGCTCTGATCCTGGAGCTGCTAGGAGGCTGGGCAGGGCTGCACTCTAATAAAGCCGCATGGGGGAGGGGGGTGCCAGAGCTTGTTAGATATACAAGCCCGTCCCGGGGAGCTTAATATCCTCTTACTGGAAAACCATTGTCCCAGCTTCTCGACAAATACCAACCGTCATTAATAAAAGCGCTAATAAAAGCATTTATTGCGCTCAGGCGATGGGCTCGCTTTTTCTAGCTCCGGGGCCTTGGCAGAGGCAGCTGTTGAGGATGAGGACTGGAAAAGTGGAGATTCCCACTGCACCCAGGAGCTCAGCCGGCGCCCCCAGCCCCAGCCCCAGCCCTCCATCCTTCCCGGCGGTCACCGCCAGTGAGACCGGTCGTCAAAGAGTGGGAGACTGGAGCAGGGAGCCCGCCGCGGGTTAAGCATCACATTCCCGGGTCATGGCTAATGGTGTGCGAGGGGGCTTCAAACAGCTCCTAGAAAATGGAACTGGAAGATACGTTTAGGGCCAGTGTGCTGGTGCAGCAAGTCGAGCCACCACTTACCCCATCAGAGCGGCATTGCCTATCAGAGCGCAGGCTCGAGTCCCACTTACTCTGCTTCTGATCCAGCTCCCTGTTAATGCGCCTGGCAAAGCAGTGGAAGATGCCCCAAGTGCTTGGGCCCCTGCACCCACGTGGGAGACCAGGTGGAGTTCTCGGCTCCTGGCTGTTGTGGCCATTTGGGGAGTGAGCCGTCAGATAGAAGATCTCTCTCTCTCTTCTCTGACATTCTGCCTTTCAGATAAATAAATAGGCCTTTTTAAAAAAAAAAAAAAAGAGGTAAGTTTAATTTGATTGAAACTGGCATGGTTTTCCCATCAGACATGAGCTTTCTTCAGAGAAAGTTGGCTGCTCTGTGCTTCTTTCATGAAGTTTAAGCTGCAAGCTCTTTATCCCCACCTTGCAGAGGGGGAGATGACGGCAGGGAGGGGCTCCCTCCAGCCTGTGACGTGTGGTGTTCTAGCCAGAGCCGGCTGCAATGCCGTGCGTGCTGCCTGCTCCCAACCCCGGCCCCGTTCTGATATGAAAAGAAAGGGTGAGGCTGGCTCCGGCTCCGTCCAGCCCCCCACAGGGGACCCGCGAGCGCTGTGATCACCACCGCTGCTTCTCTAAATTATTATTGTTGTTATTATAATAACCAGTGGGTAGAGTTGAGTGGGTGGAGGATGGCAGATAATTACCACGACCCCCAAATTAGCGCGTCGAGTCTTTACTTTTCCACGGCTGCTCCAAGATGAAAACGAGAGCTGGCCTCAGCGGAGCCCTGGGAAGAGCCCCAAATCTCACAGCAGGGAGAAGGCGATGGAGAAGGGCCAGGCCCCAAATGTCTCGGAAGCCAGATTTGGAGACCCTGGGCTCCTGGTCCGTGGATGGCCTGGTTGTTTGGGAGGTGGAAAGGGCATACATAGTTGAGCCAGCCTGGTTCAAATCCCGGCTCTGCTACTCTTTGGCTGTGTGACCTTGGGAAAGTTAACCGACTTCTCTGAATTTCACATAAAATGGGGGAAATCATCACCGTGACCCCATAGGGCGGTTGTAAGTGAGAGTTGGAGGACTGGCTGTGAGAACTCCAGGAATACGGGCTCTTTCCGCTCCTGGCCGAGAGATTCGAGGTCCAGTCACTCCCCTGCCATCAGAACGGCATCGGGAGAAAGAGCTCCGTTCTCAGGACTCCCCGGGGTCGGTTGGCCCCAGTCTCCCCTCTGTTTAAGACAAGGCAACCAAAGCCCTGCCCTGGGTTCCTCCCAGCCCCGAGGGCTGCCAGATGGATGGAGGAGATACAGCCCTGGGAGGAAAGGTGGGCGTTAATAACAGCACCCTGGGTCTCTGTTATTATTGTCATTACTCTGCCTCTGTCCAGTAAGCAGCGGGGACTCAGGTGACTCACTGTCTGCACGCCGCAGCCCAGCACCAGCCTGTTGGGACCTGCCTGCCTGCCAGGGCTCCCCCGCCCGGGAGGCCTCTGCCACTCTCCCTGCTCCTGCCAGCAGCGCAGGGTCCCCCACTGCAGGGCGGGTAGACGGGACGTGTGTGTGTGTGTGTGTGCGCGCGCGCACGTATGCTTACATGGGCACGGGGCATTTGGAACTAGCATGCCGGCAGCTTCAGAGTGAGCCCAGGGCAGGGCTGGGGGGAGCTGGGGTGCCTGGAGAGAGCCCTGGATTCCTTCCGCGTGGGCCTGGGGTTGGCAGGGACCAGAGACAGAAGGGTTCAAGGAGAAGCCTGGGTCTGATGCTGTGCCTGCCCTCCTGGGTAGGACGCCCTTCTCCAGGGTGCCGCCCCCCTGGCACAGAGTGGTTCTCTCGCTCTGT